AGAAAGAAAGAAAGAAATAAGAAAGAAAAAAAACAAAAAAGGAAGAAAAAATTTTAAAAAATAAATCAAAGAATGTAAATGAAAATAAAGAAAAAATGACGAGAAATGGGCAGAAAAAAGTGAAGGAAAGGAGATCCGAAGAAAGAAAGAAAGAAAGAAAGAAAGAAAGAAAGAAAGAACCGAGACGAAAGAAAGAAAGAAAGAATAACTTCTGAAAAGGAAAATGGAATGAAACAAAAGACTAATTTCCGAAAAGACAAAAAGAATGAAAGAAAGGATGAATTCAAGAAAGAAAGAAAGAAAGAAAGAAAGAAAGAAAGAAACGATACATTCCGGAAATAAATAATGTATGAAAGGATATATTGAAGAAAGAAAGAAAGAAAAAAAAGAAAGAAAGAAAAAAAGAAAAAAGAAAGAAAAATAAAGAAAAAAAAAAAAAAAAAGGAAGAAAAAATTTTAAAAATAAATCAAAGAATGTAAATGAAAATAAAGAAAAAATGACGAGAAATGGGCAGAAAAAAGTGAAGGAAAGGAGATCCGAAGAAAGAAAGAAAGAAAGAAAGAAAGAAAGAAAGAAAGAAAGAAAGAATAACTTCTGAAAAGGAAAATGGAATGAAACAAAAGAAGACTAATTTCCGAAAAGACAAAAAGAATGAAAGAAAGGATGAATTCAAGAAAGAAAGAAAGAAAGAAAGAAAGAAAGAAAGAAAGAAAGAAACGATAGATTCCGGAAATAAATAATGTATGAAAGGATATATTGAAGAAAGAAAGAAAGAAAAAAGAAAGAAAGAAAGAAAGAAATAAGGAAGAAAAAAAACAAAAAAGGAAGAAAAAATTTTAAAAAATAATTCAAAGAATGTTAATGAAAATAAAGAAAAATGACGAGAAATGGGCAGAAAAAAAAAAGTGAAGGAAAGGAGATCCGAAGAAAAATAAAGAAAAAAAAACAAAGAAAGAAAGAAAGAAAGAAAAAAAAAAAATGAAAGAAAAGAAAGAATAACTGAAAAGGAAAAATAGAATGAAACAAAAGAAGACTAAGTTCGAAAAAGACCAAAAGAATGAAAAAAAGAAAGGATGAATTCAAGGAAGAAAGAAAAGAAAGAAAGAAAGGAAGAAAGAAATAAAGAAACGATACATTCCGGAAATAAATAATGTATGAAAGGATATATTGAAGAAAGAAAGAAAGAAAAAAAAAAAGAAAGAAAGAAAGAAAAAAAAAAAAAAAAATAAGGAAAAAAAAAAAAAAAAGAAAAAAAATTTTAAAAATAAATCAAAAAAGAATGTAAATGAAAATAAAGAAAAATTACGAGAAATGGGCAGAAAAAAAGTGAAGGAAAGGAGATCCGAAGAAAGAAAGAAAAGAAAGAAAGAAAGAAAAAGAAAGAAAGAAAGAAAGAAAGAATAACTTCTGAAAAGGAAAATGGAATGAAACAAAAGAAGACTAATTTCCGAAAAGACAAAAAGAATGAAAGAAAGGATGAATCAAAGAAAGAAAGAAAGAAAGAAAGAAAGAAAGAAAGAAAGAAAGAAAGAAAGAAACGATACATTCCGGAAATAAATAATGTATGAAAGGATATATTGAAGAAAGAAAGAAAGAAAAAAGAAAGAAAGAAAGAAAGAAAAAAAGAAAGAAATAAGGAAAAAAAAAAAAAAGGAAGAAAAAATTTTAAAAAATAAATCAAAGAATGTAAATGAAAATAAAGAAAAAATGACGAGAAATGGGCAGAAAAAAGTGAAGGAAAGGAGATCCGAAGAAAGAAAGAAAGAAAGAAAGAAAGAAAGAAAGAAAGAAAGAAAGAAAGAAAGAATAACTTCTGAAAAGGAAAATGGAATGAAACAAAAGAAGACTAATTTCCGAAAAGACAAAAAGAATGAAAGAAAGGATGAATTCAAGAAAGAAAGAAAGAAAGAAAGAAAGAAAGAAACGATACATTCCGGAAATAAATAATGTATGAAAGGATATATTAAAGAAAGAAAGAAAGAAAGAAAGAAAGAAAGAAAGAAAGAAATAAGGAAGAAAAAAAAACAAAAAAGGAAGAAAAAATTTTAAAAAATAAATCAAAGAATGTAAATGAAAATAAAGAAAAAATGACGAGAAATGGGCAGAAAAAAGTGAAGGAAAGGAGATCCGAAGAAAGAAAGAAAGAAAGAAAGAAAGAAAGAACCGAGACGAAAGAAAGAAAGAAAGAATAACTTCTGAAAAGGAAAATGGAATGAAACAAAAGAAGACTAATTTCCGAAAAGACAAAAAGAATGAAAGAAAGGATGAATTCAAGAAAGAAAGAAAGAAAGAAAGAAAGAAACGATACATTCCGGAAATAAATAATGTATGAAAGGATATATTAAAGAAAGAAAGAAAGAAAGAAAGAAAGAAAGAAAGAAAGAAAGAAAGAAAGAAAGAAAGAAAAAAAGAATAACTTCTTAAAAGGAAAAAGGAATGAAACAAAAGAAGACTAAGTTCCGAAAAAACAAAAAGAATGAAAGAAAGATAGAAAGACATGGAACGGACTTAGTAATGGACACGTGTGAAGAAGATGTGATGAATGCGAGAAGCGAAGTAAAAAGAAAGAACGAAAGAAAAGAAGTCAAAAATTAAAAGCAAACAAAAATGGAGGCGTGCAAAGGAAGAAGAAAAGGAGATATATATGAAGGAGAAGAACAAAAAAAAAGTGTGAAGCGAAGGAAAAAGAAAGAAAAAGATAGAATGAATGCATATAAGAAATAAAGCGAGGTAAAAAAAAGGAAAAAATGAAACATTAAAAAAAAGTAAGCAAACGTACAAATATGAAGTGATATAAATAAATAATATATGAACGAGAAATAAAAACTATAAAAAGAGTAGACAATAAAAACTGATTTAAATAAAGAAAGCAAGAAAGTTTGAATGAAATTAAAAGGAAAGAGAAGATGGAAGAAAAAAAGAAAAATCTTGAAAGGACGTGAAAAAAATGTAATACATGTAAAGAAAATATAATCGAAAAAGAAAGAAAGAAAGAAAGAAAGAAAGAAGATATGTGAAAATAAAATCAATAAGAAGCGAAGAAAATGGAATAAAAAAGAAAAATCTTGAAAACGTAAAAAAATGAATGAGAGAGAGAAAGTTAAAAAAGAAAGAAAGAAACAAGGAGTGAATGAATGAATGAAGATATGTGAAAATAAAATCAATAAGAATCGTACAAAATAAAGAAAGAAAGAAATAAATAAAGCGTAAAGATCGAATGAGAGAGAGAAAGTTAAAAAAGAAAGAAAGAAACAAGGAATGAATGAATGAAAACAAGTGAAAATAAAATCAATAAGTAGCGTAGTAAATAAATAAATACAATGCAAAGATCGAATGAAAGAAAATGAGAAAAGGTTAAGAAAGAAAGAAACAAGGAATAAATAAATGAAAACAAGAGAAAATAAATTCAATAAGAAACGTAGAAAATAAATAAATAAATACAATCGAATGAAAGAGAGTGAATGTTAAAAAAAAGAAAGAAAGAATGAAAACTAGAATGAAAATAAAAAAGGATAACCAAAGAAAGAACGAAAGAAAGAAAAACGGTTAAAATCGAGCAGGAAGTATGGAACAAAGAAAAGTGAAAAATAATTAAAAAGAAAGTATGCATGAAAACGGGCAAAGACAGAAAAAAAGAAAGAGAAAAAGAAAGAAATGAAAAAAGTAAAGCACGAGCGAGAGAGAGAGAAAGAAAGACAAATATATATGGAGGAAGAAAAAGCGACGAAAAGAAAGATAGAGAAAAGAATAGTTTAAAGAACGAAAAGGAAAAGACGGACAAAATAAAAATGAATAAAAGAAAAGTGATAGAGGATAAAAAAAAAGAAAAGGGAAAGAAAAAGCTAAGGAAACAAAGAAAGTCCCTAAAACAGAGAAGGAAAAAGAAAGAAAGAAACAGATTTTGGAATGTTGTTTGACAAATTACAATTTTAATTTGCCTCGAAGCCATAAAGAACTCGAATATATTCCGGGCTGTTTTCGAATTCCAAACAGAAATAAATCTGAAAACATTTCTTACGCTTACGAACCAATAGAGAATGGCATTTATTGGGAACAATTTTTGCCGAGAAAATCAATTAAATGTCCTTTCTTTCTAATTTTTCGTCGGAATTTTCTAAAGATAACCGATGTATATGCCTATGTAAAGGTAGTTTTACATTTAATGGCAACATTTCAACAGATATCAATTTCATTTCATCTTTTTGCCTGACAACATCGGCACATTATTCATTTTTAAGCGAGAAAGACTTGAATTAGTCATGTCTTTAATCGCCGACTCTCCTTCATAAGGAATGCTCAATTTCAAAAGAGATGCTGACTCTAAAGTTCTTAGTTATTATTATTATTATTATTATTATTATTATTATTATTTTCTTTGATTTCTGGCGTTTACACATTTCTTTCCGGGTCCCGCCCAGGGACCTAAGGTTAGAAATGGCGTCATGACACTTTCCACTGACAAAAAAAAAAATTACATCGATAAAGCCCTTCGTAAGGTGTGGGCTGTACTTGTCAGAACAATTTTTTGTATCTCCTTGAAGCATGGACCTCCAGGAATCCCTTCAATTAGTCTACTGAAATCTTTTCCAACCAGTCCTAGGGCTCCAACTACAACAGGGGTTGTTGATGTTCCCATATGCTACATTTTCGAGATTTCTATTTCAAGGTCCTTGTACTTTGACACCTTTTTGAATATCTTCAAAGATACATTGCAGTCAGCAGGGACTGCCATATCAATAAGGAGGCACCGTTTTTGTTTGTGGTCTTTAATAACAATATCTGGGCGGTTTGCCTTGATTGTTCTGTCAGTGTGTATTGCGTAATCCCATAGAATTGTAACAGGTCCTATCTCCGTAACCGGGTCTGGCTGGTGTTCATACCAATTTCTTTATTATTATTATTATTATTATTATAATTATTATTATTATTTCTGTATGCTATGTTTCTTGCTTTGTCTCCTGTAGGTCCGGGTCCCAAGTACCCGACCCTAAGTAGAACTCGTACATATACTGAAGATGCGGTTAAAATGGTCGACTCCCTGCACCGCTTCAGTAAGTATCTGATTTCTCCTGCTATTCTTTAACTTTACAAGAGTCAGACGTCGCTTCTCTCTGTCTTTTCTATAAATATTTTCATGGAAACTAACGAGTTTTTCTTTTATTCTTTTTTTTATTTTTTATTTTTACCCTGGTACTCAGACTACATGAATTTAAACGCGCTACTAGATTGGCATCTAGGTCCCACCCTTTTACTCAAGAGTTTCTTTCCTCGCACTTCTCGTCAGTGGAACTCCCTGTTCCATATGAATATTGACTTGACTAATATTTTGAAAGAAGATTCCATAATCTACCCAAAATGGGGTGGGTGTTGGAATTTAGGGGTACCCTGGTGTACTAGTGATCCAGCCAAAATGAGCTGACTCATTTTATAGTTCACAAATAGAAGGATTAACCAATCAGAAGGCTCAAAATATTCAATGCGCCGTGTACAAAGGCGGCCATGTTTTTCCCGAATATTCACTGCCAGCCTTTGATAACCCGGACGAAGCTCGGCCGAAGGGCAGAGTCTCGTTCTGGGAGGTTGACAGCCCCTGAACCCGTTTATGCGGGTTCAAAGAGGGATTATTTTTGGCTGAGCTTATGGGCTCGAAGATCCCACGTTAAACGGGCCTTGTGCCACATGTAACCTTCGTGGCGGGTAGCTAAATATCGCTGTCTACAGTTGACCTGTTACAGCTAAACAGTCGAACTCTCTGCCTTCGGGTAGAGAGGAACCCGGACGAGGCCTCGCCGCAGGGCAGCGTCTCGTTCGGGGAGGTTGACTGCCCCTAAACCCGTTTATACGCGTTCGAATAGGGAATATTTTGGGCCGAGCCTACGGGCTAAGAGATCCCACGTTAATCCCGGCCTTGTGCCACATGTAACCCGCGTGGGGGGTGGCTAAATATCACTGCCAGCCTTTGATATCGAAGACTGAAGGATTACGGAACAGCTGCTGGTGGTATTGGCGATATAGTCAGATTCAGTAGAGTGTCTGACTCGTGAGTGTTAATCTTTAACGTTGTTTCATTGAACAAATTACGTACTGCGCTGTATTCTATATACATAGACTATGCTGAACATGGTCATTACTGCCTTCCTCTCAATTCCTTTCCTGATAACTACAATGTTCAAAAATTTAAATGCAACGTCAATCGCCATCTTTGTTGCCTCGATCTCTGACCCTTTTTTCATTTCTTCACTCCACCCCCTAGACCCACTTCACTCACCGTGCCCTCACCACGCGCGGTGGTGGCACTGCTGCCTTGCTTGAAGTGAAATGCTTTTAAAAAAAATCATAAATGAAATAAAATAAAGCAAATAACATTGAAACTTTGTTTAAAATAAATAAAGCAAAAAAAGTTCTCCCAGAATGCAACAGAATCATTTTCAGTCTGAAAACGGATATATATATATATATATATATATATATATAATAATAATAATATATATATATATATATATATATATATATATATATATATATAAAAAAAGGCTTAAACACTAATATTCCATTGGAATCCATCAGACCTACAAATTCAAATACGATCCAATTCATCAAACCTACAAATTAAAAATTTTGAATTTGTAGGTCTCATGAATTGGATCGTAATTACGATTCCAATGGAATAAATTATGACCATGGAATATTAGTGTTTAAGCCTTTTTATTATATTCTTACTCTGTCCTAGACATTGAGTTCTACCTGGATTCTTCCTCTTGGAATTATTTTTTTTATACAAATATATATGCATGGTATATGTATGTGCATGTATGTATATATATTTATATATTTTACATATGTATGTGTATATTTACCACTAATATATATATATATATATACTAGCCGATAATTTGTGGTGAAAAATGATGCATTTCAGTATCAATCTTGCTGATGTGTACAGCCAGTCTCTGATTTTCTCCTATATTCATTCTCTTGTCCAAATTTAAATTTAATTAAAAGCGAAGGGATAATATTTTAAGTGGGAGCAAAAACAGTTTCATATGACTCCTTTGCTATGTATTTGATGCAATACTTAAATGAATTGATGAACAGATTTCAGTGGGTGGGGCCTCTCCCGGGACTCAATTTGATCAAAATGAAATATACTCATCCAAGTACCCCGGGTAATGTAGTTTCAGAATATGCATGATTATGGGGTTCTATCTTCAAAACACTGGGACGTGTTCGATAACAAACAGACAGATAGAGGCTAAAACTAGCCCAAAACAACGAGAATTCATCAATGTTAAAACAAATTCGGAAAAGAATGATAGATGCAATCGTCAGGCCACGTGTCCTCTCGTGGCCTGACGATTGCATCTAGCATGAAACAGACTGTCGCCTCTAAGTGTTGACTTCTATGTTCACTTTTATATTTACTTTTATATTTATACACGCTCTATCTCTGATATTGAGCACTTTTCCCAGAAATATAGCACATCTTAAGACTATATTTC